CAATTGGGGTTAAGTGACTTGCCCAGAGTCACTCAGCTAGTGTCAAGTGATTGGTCTGAGGCCAGATTTGAACTCAGGTCCTCCTGATTTCAAAGCCAGTGCTATTTAGAGCTTTTTTATGTGGTTGTTGATCTTTGCTTTCTTTCTTTAAAAATTTCCTATTTATATCCTTTGACTATCTATTGGGGGATGGCTCTTACTCTTATAACCTGAATTAGTTCCTTATGTATCTTGGAAATGAAAACTTTATCAGAAAAATTTGTTGTGAAGACTCTCCCCCCCTTACCCATTTCCCTTCTAAATTTTATTAGAGTAGATTTGTGCAAAAACTTTACATTTTATATAATTAAAATTATTTTATTTTGTGTGATACTCCTTTTATATCCCCTGTTTAGTCATGAACACTCCATCTATCTATAGATATGAAAGTTACTTCTTCTTTACTTCTTTAATTGGTTTATGATGTGCCCTCTTATATCTAGTTCATGTATCCATTTGGAGTTTGTGTAGGTGTAAAGTGTGAGGTATTGATTGAAACCTAAATTCTGCCAAAATGTTATCCAGTTTTCCCAGCAGTTTATATCACATAGTGAGCCCTTCTCCCAGTAACTGAAATCTTCAGGCTTATCAAATCCTATGCTACTAAAGTTGTTTACTTCTGTATGTTATCCAATCTTTCTCACTCATTAACTTCTCTATTCCATAACAGGTACTAAATCATTTCAATAATTACTGATTTGAAATACATCTTGATATTTGGTCCTGATACACATACACACATACACACACACACACACACACACACACACACACACACACACACACACACACCACTTTTCTTCCTACTTCCATTCATTATTACCCTTGAGATCCTTGACACTTTGTTTCTCTACATGAATGTCATTATTTTTCATAGCTCTACAAAATATCCTTTGGGGAATTTCATAGTGTCATAAGTCTTCCTGACTCTAGCCTCAGAATTCTATCCACTGTACCACATAAATGCCTCATATTTGTAGTGATTTTGAAACATGGTTTAAAAAAAAGTCTCTGGACAGAAAAGCAAAATTCAACAATTATGGCTTCCTTTTGCTCTGCAAGTAACTACTTAATCTGTAAACATTAACATTAGTGAACATGAGATAAGGTTCAATATCTTAATACCTGAATGGTAATATCTCACTGATTTTTTTTGTGAGAATGATGTTTGGGATATTTCCAGTCTACACAGAATCACACTATAATCAACTGATGATAATAGTTTAAAAGTTATATTCTAAGTGTTCTTGGAGGAATCACTAGAAAGCCAATAAATCATAAGCATAACTCAACTCAGCACCTAGAACTATATCTGGCACATTAAAAAAATGTGGTTGAATTACCACAGGTCTAATCTTGTCATCCCCTGCTTGGTGGTATGGTAAACTCCAGTGATTCCCTATTATTTCCAGAATCAATATAAAGTCCTTAATTTTAACTTTAAAGCTTCATTCAAACTGGATCTTCCTAACTTTCTAGTCTCCTTACACTTTACTCCCCTCCTTGCACACTATAATTTAGCTACTGAACTATCTGATGTTCTTTCAATATTATGTTACAGCTCTGTCTCCTTTCCTTTGCCTGGAATGCTCTTCCTCTTCATCTCTGCCTCCTGCCATCTCTGGCTTCCTTCAAGAAGAAGCTCAAATGGGGGGCAGCTAGGTGGTGCAGTGGATAGAGCACTAGCCCTGGATTCAGGAGGACCTGAGTTCAAATCTGACCTCAGACACATATCACTTACTAGCTATGTGACCCTGGCAAGTCACTTAACCCCATTGCCTAGCCAAAAAGAAGAAGAAGAAGAAGAAGAAGAAGAAGCAGCTCAAATGCTATCTCCCACAGGAGATACTTCTGGTCCACCACCACTTAGTAATTGCTTAATAAATGTTTATTTACTGATTAATTACAGTCTTGGATGATTTGTTCTTTGATGCTTTTAAGTTCAGTTCTGTGGTATTGTAAGGGTTATGCAAAATGCAAATTACCAGTTAACCTTTTGATGTCCTTGCCTGTGTAATCCTACATACCTGGCATTCTATACAAAACCAAATATGGGAGAAACAAGTCAACATTTACCAGATTCAAAATACAGCATTTTATTACAAATGCCATATTAAAATAAAATGGACCCTTACTATAAATTGAAAGCATTTCTCAAATTAAAGTGAATCATTGAGGTATTCCATCCATACAGGAAAATAATGGTAAATTCAATGGCTTGGTCTATATACATAATGGACCAAGTATCACGAACTTGATACATATTAGACTTGCAGAAATTAGGATTAGTCAAATGGGAAAAATCAGTTAAACCCCTAATCAACCAATTAACCAATTTAATTAACAAATTGAATCAGGTTTTACACAATTTTTATTTAAATCAAATAAGTTTGACAAATCAGATTTTTTAAATTGTACTAGTTGTAGTACTTGTCCACTACAGTTTAACAGAACATTTTAATTGAACCAGTTTTAATACCTTGTAGACAAAATGTGAATAACTGATGAGGGAATATGTAAACACCTTTTTCTTGCATTTACATGCTTCTCCTTCATCCCATATTGAGTTTGACTGCACAGTCTATTTTCCTTTACAGTAAAGTTCTAAATATTTTCAGGAAAATTTGTATATAGCTGTGTCATTCTGCTTTCTATACAGTGTGCAGCAGCTGTACAATAACAGTATGGAGCAAATTCAGAGGTAATTATTACCTTGTATTTCCTTTACTTCCATTTTCTCCTCTTCATGATATATGGGAAGAAGAATCTCCTTCCACTCCCAGATTTTTCCAACCCTTGAGGCATGTGGCTCCTCTAGTCTCTTTTTTACCTACTGTCGTTACTGAAACAAATATGAAGCAGCATTCATATTTAGGAACTATCAATGTTCACTCCTTACTTTGGCTGCCTTGTCTCTCATTATCTCTATTTCTTCCAATGAAATGAAAAGATAACTGTTTGAGATGTTTTTCTTCTTTATATTCACTAACCACTAAGGACTGCATCATAACTTTTGAATTCATGTCTAGAATAATGTTTTACAGTTATAATCTTTTATCAAGGTATTTATCTTCTAAACAAATTGCCAACCAAGCCATTGACCCCCCCAAAAAAAATCAAAAGAAAAAACATGAATCTTTACCTTAAAAAAAGTCAGGTGTTCTTTGTCTTTCAGTCTCTATCTAGATATAATTTTCCTTTAGTGATCTTTGAATTACAATATTTGATCATAAATAATCTCTTTGATCCATAACCTCAAGATCTCCAGATTTTATCACCATGGGGCCAAAAAACAAACAAAGTTGACATAGTTTTAACTAAATTGTATAAATTTAAATGAGTTTGATATAACTTCAAAACCTTAGCAGTTGTACTCTTATTTTCCCTCTGGATAAAAGTGATGGATACTATGTCTATTATGATTGCAATCCACAAAATATACTTTTCTTCTTATTCTTTCATTCGATTGACAGGAAAGCTTATAAGCCAAGGTGCTAGCCTTTACCCAGTAATCTATACCTTCTCAAAATCCTTAAATATTTACTGCATTTAATTAGTCAATTGGCATTTAATCACATTGTGCCCTGTAATTTCTTTTGTGTGCTTCTCCAATAAATGTATAGGCTCTTTCCATGCAGGGACCAAATGTTGATCCTTTGAATATCCTGTTTAACCTCACAATACCCATTACAGTGCTCCACACATATCTTTTGAAGAAAAGGATGATTTGCTCCCTAAAGCTGAAACGAGACCCTGCGGTTTCAAAGGTCTTTAAGATCAAGATTAAACAGCTTCTTTTCGATGTCTTTAAAATTACCTTAGGCTTCCATCTAGCTGTGAGCTTTAATAGTCAACTACTTCAGAAACTGATTGCACTGAGATCCTATGAGTATATGAATCCCCACTTTACTTCAGAGACTAAGACGTATCTATGTAAAATGCCATTTTAATCATCTTTTGATGACAAAAATGTTAGGGAATGAGAGGTCTCTTGTTTGGGGGGAAAAGGTTGTACTCTTTAGGAAAGATTTTTATGTTCGACTGAGGTTTTGCACAAAAGGAATTGTTTTCTAAAGAGGAAAGAGAAGTTACTTTTAAATGGAGAGAGATCCCATTTTTTCATACCAGTTTGAAGTTAGAGTAGAGATGAAGTTGCTGTGGTATTGGAATAGACATGTAAGGGTGTTCCCTAAAACCTCAATCTATTCAATTCCTTTTTGCTTCTCTGATAGCAATTAAGAATTGCTATTCATACAAGGAGAGTTCAGATCCATAATGGCATTTTTGAAAACTTCTCGAGTTGTTGGTAAATCAAGTCAATCATTCCCTATTTCTTCTTAATGCTAGTGTCTTCTTGATATATCTCCAATTTATTCTGTACATAGCTTGTGTATACATAGTTGTCTGCATTGTCTTTTCCACTAAACTGGGAGATCTTTGAGTGTAGGGATTGTTTTTGACTATATCCCCGGCACTTGGCACAGTACCTGGCCCAAAACAGTTTAATAAATGCCTGTTGAATGGCTATTGATGATAGACAAACTGGCATTTGATTCGTTAATGTCCTAGTCTTTTGTCCCTGGAATAGGTGGAAAGATTGTAAGGCTGGAGGTGCTCATTCTCTCTCCACCCTAGAGCTCAAGCTGCTGCAGGCTGCTGATCCCTGGCCCACCACTGCCAGTCCCCACTCTTGGATCCCCTATTGTTTTCTCCTTTCCAGTTTCCTCTACTCCACCCGCTCCACTCTGCGGGGGGGGGGGGGGGGTGTTTACTGGAGTTTTCCTGGGAGAGACATTTCTCTACCCAAGGTAAGAAGCGGGGGGGGGGGGGGGGGAGGAGAGAAGGTGGAGCAGAGGAAGAGGAAGAAGAGAACAGACAAGGTCTTAAAAACACAACAGACGCAATTTCCTGGCCGTTCCTGAAACTTAATCCTCTTCCGGTTCAGAAAGGAAATGGCGGATGTTGTTCCCAGAATCCCTCCGCGCTGTGTCCTTTCCGAGTCCTAGGAGCGGAGGTGCTCCAAGTTAGGCCTCTTCTCCAGGGCTCAAGCGGCCAGATACTCAGGCCCACATAACCCTGGTTCCCCTAAGGAAAACCTAGAGGCAGCAATAAATGATGGGGAAGTTCTAAGGATACTTCCGCGATTAACAGCTACTCTAGAAAGATGGAGAACAATCATTTCCAGGTCTCTGCCCTCTCCCCAAAGGACGTTTGACCGTTGTTCCGCCCTGAGCTTCCCGGAAAGAAAAGCCGCGACAACGGGACTTCTCGCGACATTTCCCCTTCTGCTCTGTGGACGGTAGTTGTGTACGATTTGGAAGCAAGGTGACAGTTAATTTTTTAAAAATCGACCCCAACATTTAACGTTGGCATTTTGAATAGTAACACCCTAATCAATCCAACTTTGGGGGAATTCTTTGTAAATCTTAACTTTCAGGCTTTGGTCTAACAGTTACAACATAACAAATAAATAAGTCAAAGATAAAATGGGTACAGAAACCGGTTAGATTTGGGATCAATCCCCTTCCATCCTAAGCCCCCTTCGGATCCTTACAGGTGTGATCCTAGGCGAGTCACTTCAGCACTAGGTGCCTCAGACAGCTCTCCCCGTTGTTTGCTTAGTAAGTCACGAGTTGCCTCAGATAATTTTAAATAAAATTCACTGGAATTGCACAGAATGCGATCTACAAAGCCAAACCGCTTTGAAAGACTTAAGATTACAGAGGAGAGATGATGAATCATGTCCTGACAGATGATGACAACGATAGCATGTATATATTGCTTTAGTGTTTGAAAAGTATGCAAATGAATGTTGAAAACTAAAAATAAATTTTAAAAAAGTTTGACAAGTGTATTATTTGATGCACTCAGGATACAGATTGAGACATACTTTTTAAACGTGGCCAATGTGGGCCATTGGTGTTTGCATGGCTATGCGTTTTTGCTGGGAGGGTTTTGTAGGAGAGGATTTTCCCAATGAGGAGAAAGGAGAGAAAATCCATTTTTTCCTAATTAAAAAAAAAATTAATAAAAACAAGCAAAAGCAACTAGCTATGATATAAAAGTCTAGATTTAGAGCTGGAAGGTGATCTAATCCAATCCCCTCAGTTTAAAGATAAGAAAACAGAGGACTAGAGAGGTTGTCCTATTCTCAAATTCACATGTGTAACAAAGGCAGAAGTGGAATTCAAACCAAAGTTCTCTGCCTCAAAATCCCAGTGATCCTTCTATCTCACCACACCACCTTAAATCAAGAAACATTTCTTGAAAGTTGAGTATGTGCAAAGTACTGTAAGAAATCCAAAGAACTGACAAAGTCACTCAAGGAACTGCTGTACACATAGTTTACTCAAATTTCAGCAATGCTTTTGAGAAGTTCTTTTATTAAAAAGATGGAAATGTGAGCTAAATAATGGATTTGGAGCTGGATGCATACATTATAGGTAACTCCATGTTCACTTGGAGGAAAGCTATTAATCAGGTGTCATAGAAAGTATACATATGCAGTAATACCAAGCTGGGAAGGATGATTAACATAATGGATAAGTCAGGACTCAAAACGATCTCACAATTTAAAATGATGGTGGAAGTTGGAAAAGATAAAATGTAATAGAGATAAATGTAAACTTTTTTTTAATACCACAAGATGGGAGATACATAGCTAGATGGCAGTTAATGTGGTTTTAATAGACTTGATATGAATCAACAGTGTGAAATAACAGCCATAAAAGCTAATGTGTTCTTAAGCTTCATTAGAAAAGGTACAGTGTCCAGAACAATGGTGGTGATAGTTTGCCTGTATACTGTTCTTGTCAGGCCACATCTATAATATTGTGTTCAGTTTTGTGTGCCACATTTTAGAAAAGACATGGGGAAACTTAAGATCCTGGAGAACAATATGATTACAATGTTGAAGTCTCAAGATCATGACATTTATGTTTTTAATAGTTTGAAAGAAAGGCTATTTTGAGAAATCTAAGGATCCCAGTAGTGATAGTTAGAATGAAGGGAACTTGGAGATGGAGAAGAAATACAGCAAGATTCAGTTGAAAGCAAGGGGAATGGAGACAGAGCAAAGAAAGCACACTACCTAAAGTCAGGAGACTTGGCACGAAATTTTTCTCTGCCTCAGATTTGCTATGTGAGTTTAGGCAAGTCCCTCCTATTCCTTGCCCCACAACTAGCTAATTCCCACCTCCTGGTCCCCTGTTCCTTGTGATTTACAATAGCCACCTGCCTGCACAGTCAAAAGACCTGTCTTATGTTAACTCTAAATGAATAATGATTTAGTAGGAGGCAACTGCATAACCAACTTTACTTCGTCCTTATCGTCACCATCAGGTCTTTATCAAGTGCAGGGCATATTCTCAAAGTGTTATTGTAGGATTGTCTCTGCTCTTTGGGCATAAGAAACTAAAAACCATTAATAAAGTACCCTAGAAAAGCAAGATTTAGAGTCACTTGCCTTTATAGGGGATAAGACTTCCCTCTAGAGAACTCTCCACTGCTACTTTTCTCATACCTCAGCCTGCCCCACCCCCAACCAAAATGTGTCTGGGGAAGGAGCCCACATGCTCTTGCAGTCGATTGCCACTTTCATATCTTCTCTTTACCATCATGTCTCAGTAACTTCTTCTCTTTTGAGGTTCACTACATAAATCTGTAAAACACAATTCATTCTTGCTTTCATCTGTCACCCTCCAAATTACACTCTCTCCTTCATCAACTACCATCAACTTCATCCTCTCCAGCACAACCCCACTCCTTATCTTTGGTGCTTTAAGTATCCACAATGATGACCAAACACCCGTGCTTCCCACCTTTTACATCATCAGCATCCACAACTTTCATCTTCATGATTTCAAGCTCTGAAATTCTTTCTGATCACAAACAAATATCCTTCCATTTGTACCTTTGCCTCACATCTCTTGAACTCGCTATTCATTCTAACTCAATTTCTCAGTTCCCCTGGTCTGTCACTCCTAGTTTCATTTTTCTCCTTTCATCATCTCCATTTCAACCAGGCAATATCCTCTACCCATTAATGTCTTTGTCCCTCCTCCATTCATTTTTACCCTTGCAATTCTCAATCCTGAGTCATCCATAACATCATATTATTTGACTCCTCAATGGGGGGAGGCAGAGGGAGAGACAAAATCTGGAACTGAAAAAATATTTTTTTAAAAAGAAAAAATAAAACTACAGTCTATCCATGCCTTTGCCATCTTATTTTTGTCAAGTTGATTTCTTATGGCCAAGGGCAAGACTTTACATTTATCCCTATAGAATTTAATCTTCTTAGATTCAGTCCAGAGCTTTAGTCTGTCAAGATCCTTTTGGATCCTGATTTTTCTATCCTCTTTATTAGCTATACCTCCCAGCTTTGTGTCATTTGCAAATGGTGGCACAATGGATAGAGCACTGGGCCTGCAGTCAAAAAGAACTGAGTTCAAATTTGAACTCAGACACTAGCTGTGTGACTCTGGGCAAGTCACTTAATATCTATCTGCCTCAGTTTTCTCAACTGTAAGAGCATAAAACATTGATCATTATCTCTCTCTATCCATTAGCTTCATTCAATGTGCCAGCAAACATGTTCAAATATCACTCATATTGTAAAACAAAACAAAATCCACTTTACCTTGACTCTTCTTCAAACTATTGTCTTATGTCACTTGTCCCTTTCACAGATGAACTCCTAGAAAGAATAATTTATTTTCAATTAATCTACTTCCTCACCATCTGTTCATACATTAAACCCTTGTAATCTGGCATCTGACCCCACCACTTTATTGAAACTTCTCTCCCAATGGTTATCAATGATTTGTTAAGTACTAAATCCAATGGCTCAGTAATCTTCATCACCCTTACCACGGTTGTCCCCTAAGCTTTTGCCATGAGCCCCCTTTTGTAATCTCCTTTTACACTGCCTTGGAATATCTTATCTACATCTGAGTTCAATGATCATGTCTACACACATGACTCTAAAATCTATATCCAGCTCTACATTCTCCTCAGAATTTCAATCTCAAATTTCTGACTGACATTGTCACCTGTACTTGCCACTACATCAAATTCAATATGTCTCTAACTAAACTTGATCATCTTCCCCCAAATCCCTCCCTTCCTCCATACTTCCTAATTTCTGTCAAGTGTAACCTTTACAGTTACCCAGGCTTAAAACTTCTATATTATCTGTGCTATTTTGTCTCCCTCAACCGATCCATTGCCAGAACTTTCCAATTATAAACAAAGAAAATTACCTCATTTTCATTGCCTCTTATGACCCTCCTTGGGCTTGACATGATTCATAGAGGGAGGTAAACTTATCAGATTCTAGGACTTTTCAGCCACAAAGGAACGAATCTAAGATCAAATCTCTCTGTGACAGAAAGGAAAGGATAAAAGAAACAGTGGTAACCTTTTATGGTCTTAATCAGTGTTAGAACTTTCAGAGCAAACCCTATCAGTCATGGTGTTTAGCAACAGAATTGCCCATCCAGAAGGAGAAACCTCATCCAGTAGTTAGAGAGTCACACCAAGAGCTGTAGTTGAAGGAACATAGACATGCTCTAAACAGACACAGTTAGAGAGAGGAAAGAGGACTTCAGATAGCATAAAAGAAAACTGTTATTAAAGATAAACAGAGATTGCCCTGATAAACATGTGGTGCAATGCATAATGACTCCTTAAAGAGAGAAAAGAAATTGAGTCCCTGCCATACCAGAATCATGAGTAGCCTTGGCCAAATGTATTCCCTACGTGAATATCTAACTATCATTGTAAGTTTTTGTTCACTCTTCCCATGGACTCTGTATATATTTATGGGACAGCGAACCCAAGTTTGGAGAAGGGAAGGGAAAATGCTTTGTAGTGTTCTCCCTTTGTAATTTTAGTAAATGCTGTTACCAAAAGCTAAATGTGTATGCTGATTTTTTAAAAATTAAATTCAATTTATTTCAGTTAACAAAAATTCATTTTCTTTTCCATTCACCTCATCCCCATTGAAAAAAAAATCCTTGGGGCAGCTAGGTGGTGCAGTGGATAGGGCACCAGCCCTGAAGTCAGGAGGACCTAAGTTCAAATGTGGCCTCAGACCAAATACTTGACACTTACTAGCTGTGTGACCCTGGGCAAGTCACTTAACCCCAATTTCCTAAAATAAATAAATAAATAAATAAATAAATAAAAATGCCAACGTTAAAAAAAAAGAGAGAAAGAAAATCGTTTTGAAATAATATATAGTCAAACAAAACAAATTACTGCATTGGCCATTTCTAAAACTAAATGTTTCATTCCATTATATCATTATAGGGAGTAGGTAA